CAGCGTGTGAGAAATTTCATCATGCTACTCAAAACAGTGAACAATTTAAAATTTGCTCATCTCTAGAACTTTTCCTGTAATGTAATCAGACTTGTTGACTGGATTGGCTGAAACAGTGGAAAAGTGAAACTGTAGATAATGGGGACTGTGCTCTGCGTGAGAGGAAGTAAGGACGCTGTGCCTCAGAGCAATGCAAACTACTTGTTAGTACATGAATCAGTAGGAATTTAAATCTTTTTCTTGTTGACTTAAAAAAGCATACTGTGCTTTGCTATCTTTTGACCAAATAGTGTAAAACTAGAAGGTATTTCACAGTTAACTATGTGTTGAATTGTAGCAAGAATTTTCTCTCCTATCCAGTTTTTGCCTTATTTGGGAAAAAGTTGCCACCAACTTCTGTGGGTAAGACTTTCATATGCTAGCATCTGAGACTTGTTCATGTGGTTTGGATTTTATTCCTTTTCCCTCCCGTAATATATGCTCTGGGTTTGTTTGGGAAATCAGAACTGTAGTCATATAATTATACATCTGTTCATTGTGTCAAATCCATTAGAACTTGAGAGCAAGGGAAAACTATTTCAAGTGTTTTCCATACCTAAATTAGCTTATCCTAAAATATGTTTCAATTAAATCTTGTGATTGATCAGATCACATGATCTGCTTAATGTCTGATTTTGAGGATGAGCTGAAGATGAGAAAATGAATGCCATATCTGTCTCTACTAATGTGTACTGAGGATGATTTTGGAAACTATTTTAGGATATGCTCTTAGAGGCCCTTCTGGTAGCTTATTATAGCTTTAAATAGCTGCTGCTACCTTGTTTAACTGGAGTGTGGACTCTGGCACTCTTTTTTCCAATCTCCATCTTCATGGCTTTCTAAAAATAGGAAAACAAAAGGATCAAGGTGAGGAAAGGCCAAACGTCAAGCATTTTACTGTTTTGTTCTTTTCTGATTCTTCCATTCTTGCTGTTCATTCTTAATATCTTTGCTTTTTCCTAGAAATGAAGACATCTTTTTTCTCATTTTATGTTCTATATATGGTTTCCAAAAGAGGGAGACATCATCATTGCCTCTTGGACTTTTTAATGTTCTTAAAATGTTTTATTTTGAACCTAGAGAACATTTTATTGAAAGGGATTCACAATGTTTCAGCTTCTAATTTGCCCTTGCATTACTATAATTAAAATAAAGTATTGAGTGCCAGATACATTACTTTTTTTAGATGGCCTTGGGTTTAACAAATTTGGGGTGAGGATTTGATTTGTATCTACATCTTACGACTATTTCCGTACATGAGTGTTTTAAGTGTGTATACTGTGGTTGTAGAATGAAATAATGTAATGTATATAATTTCTTAAGTATTTTCATTGTTTTTCATTCCTTAAAACTTAGAATTACTATGCATGCCTATTCAAAATATTGAAAATGTATTACTAATATATGCTGTACATACTGTTTCCAGTTTATTAGATATTAATGGTGTTTTGGTTCAGTATTAGTAGAAGTCAGACTATTTCTCCAGCACTTGAATGGATCCTTTTGTGTTTCTCTCATGATGTATACATCCTGCTTTGAAAAGGACCCTACTTTAATGATATTAAAGATGAAAATCTGTTAGTTCATTCCTCATTCTTTATGGCATCAAGTAGACTCATAACTCTTTAAGTATTCATTGAACATCTACTATGGTGTCAGCTTCTGCTCCAAGTTATAAAGATATGTCAGGAATAAACATACTGAAATTTCTTTTATGGAGCTTTTACCCTCAACAAAATAAGCAAGATGTGTAATCAGTGGTGCTGTGGAGATAAAGTAGGGAAGTGTGTAGGGTAGGGTGAAATGAGATTGCATTTTCAGTTATGAAGACTGCAGTGAGAAAATGTCTTTGAATGAAGCTTCAGGAGTTGAAGGAGTAAGCCAAAGAGCAATTTGAGGGAAAGAAGAGCAAGTACAAAGCCTTAGAGGTGTGGGAGTATGTTCGGCAGGTTGAAGAACTTGTGTACTTGATTTGGCTAGAACAAAGAGAGGGTGTTGGGGTTAGAATATCTGAAGATGAGGGGCTGGCTTTGTGGCTTGGCAGGAGAGCCACCGCCTGGGACACAGGTGTCCCATATGGGCACCAGTTTATGTCCTGGCCTCTCTACTTCCTATTCACTTCCCTACTAATGTGCCTTGGGAAGCAGCAGAGGATGGCCCAGTTGCTGGGCCCCTGCACCTATGTGGAAGAGCTGGAGGAAGCTCTTGGCTTCTGGCTTTGGTCTGGCCCAGCCCTGGCTGTTGCTGCTGTTTGGGAAATGAACCAGCAGATGGAAGATTTCTCTCTCTCAGGCTCTTCTTCCTTTCTGTCTCTGTAAATAAATAAATATTAACAAATAAAGAATATCTGAAGATGAGTCAGAGAGAGGTAGGCAGAGTGAGGTATATAGAACCCTTATTGGGGAGTCCATGGTAAGGACTTTGGTTTTTAAAATGACTGTGAAATATCAGCTTGGGAAGTAGTGGGTAACAAGGTTAGAAGCAGGGAGAACAAGTTTGGAGGGTGTTGCAGCATACTAAGTGAGAACTTGTGTGACTTAGAGTAGTGTAGCAGTGGAGTGGCAAGAAGCCATCCAGTTGCAGATTTTGGTGTGTTTCAAAATGGAATTCAATCAGATTAGATGTGTGGCATATGAAGGAATAGGTGGATCAATTAGATAGAACAGGAACTTTGGGAGAAAAGCAGGTTGAGTGTCAGGAAGGTGAGAAGCTCAGTTTTGGTCATGTTAAGTTTGGGATGCTTTTTATTTAATAGAAGATCTGTTAAGCTGGCAGTTATGGATGGAAGAAATAGGATGAGGGGAGAGGTCTGTCCCGGGTATGAATTACAGGAGGTTTCTTCATGTTTAGAATGTCTTTAGAATTTAAATTCATTGTATCACTGAATGTGTAGATAGAGAAGAGGCTCTGGGCAGATCCCTGTTGCACTTCAGTGTTGGGGTATTGGGGAGATAGGAACTGGCAAGGAGACTAAAAGAAGCTGATGCTGTACAAGTAGGAAGAGAGGTAGGAGAGTGGTGATAGCACAGGTGAAGTCTTTTAAAGATGAAGGCAGAACAGCTAAATAAGATGTTTTATTTAGAGCAAGTAAGATAAGGACTAAGCATTGGCCGTATGATTTAACTATGTGTGTATCATTGGTGCCCTTATTATAAACTGGCTATTGGCTACAACCTGATAGTAGAGTATGTTCAAGAAAGGAAGGGAGGAATACATTGGAGACAGGCAATTATAAAGCATTGAGGCAGTAGTTGATGGCATGGGGAGTGGGTCCACATCATTTTCTTTTTTCTTTTTCTTTCTTTCTTTTTTTTTTTTTTTTTTACTTTTATTTATTTATTTGACAGGCAGAGTGGACAGTGAGAGAGAGACAGAGAGAAAAGTCTTCCTTTGCCGTTGGTTCACCCTCCAATGGCCGCCGCGGCCGGCGCGCGCGCACCGCGCTGATCCAGTGGCAGGAGCCAGGTGCTTCCCCTGGTCTCCCATGGGGTGCAGGGCCCAAGCACTTGGGCCATCCTCCACTGCACTCCCTGGCCACAGCAGAGAGCTGGCCTGGAAGAGGGGCAACCGGGACAGAATCCGGCGCCCCGACCGGGACTAGAACTCCGTATGCCGGCGCCACAAGGCAGAGGATTAGCCTAGTGAGCCGCAGCGCTGGCCCAGGTCATTTCTGCACTTACTGGGAAAAAATGACAACAGTTTGCATGATTTGGGGGAAGATCAAATAACGAGGGGACAAGTGAAGGTGCAGGAAGGGAGCAGACACTGTTAGCAGTTTCCTTGAATAGTTGCAGAGGTAATATGAAGAGGTTGGCTCTTAGCCAAGAATAAGGCACTTCATTGGCAGTAACAGGAGCAAAGACAGAGCGTGTGGGACAGGTACAGGTGAGTGTGCGCATGCTTTCTTGGGAATTTAGGAAGCTTATTTTTCCTCATGAAATAGGAACCAAGGCATCAGACAAAGTGAGGATGGGGATAGAGGTGCTGAAAGTTTGAAAGAGGGAAGAGTATGTTTTATGGGAGAGAGGGGAAACAGTGGAAAGGAGAACCAATAGTAAGATTGCTGGGAGCATTGAAGATCCCTTTGAGGTTAACCGTCAATTTTAGAAACCAGGCACCATCTGTCCTTACTCAGATGCCTATGCTTGTTCTTATCTCCTTCCGTTATTTCTTTATATTTTCCATGAGAGATTTTCAGTGGCTTTAAAAACTAATTTTGCCTATGAAATAGCCTAGTTTTGGTGTAGTTTACAAGAACAAGTTGCTTTACTTTTGTGGTAATCCTACTGTGTGTGTGCATGCGCGCACGCATGGGTGGGTGGTTTTTTTTTTTTTTTTTCACAATTAGTTTCATTACTTTTTTATTTATTTTTTATTTTTTGACAGAGTTAGACAGTGAGAGAGAGAGACACACACACAGAAAGGTCTTCCTTCCGTTGGTTCACCCCCCAAATGGCTGATACGGCCAGCGCACTGCGCCGATCCGAAGCCAGGAGCCAGGTGCCTCCTCCTGGTCTCCTATGCAGGTGCAGGGTCCAAGCACTTGGGCCATCCTCCACTGTCTTCCCGGGCCACAACAGAGAGCTAGACTGGAAGAGGAGCAACCGGGACAGAATCCGGCATCCCAACTGGGACTAGAACCCTGGGCTGCTGGCGCCGCAGGCGGAGGATTAGTGAGCCGCGGCACCGGCCAGTTGCATTACTTTTGTTATCAATATATTTTAGACATTTGTAACTGGAATATGTGGTAGGTGATCGAGATTTTGCAGTTATATTCAGCTGGTTGTAATCATTTATATGGTCCTTTCTTTGAAATTTCTATTGTGTAAGCCAATAAAAGCCCTTTGGGAGATTGGAGAGGTTCTTTTATGTCTAATTTCAAGAGGTGAACTTTGTAATTTTAATTTTGGTTTAGTTGAAATGGCATTTGTTTCACAAATGTATTTGCTTTTCTGTTGTAGGAAACCCAGCGTTTGCTGGCAGAACCAGTTCCTGGCATTAAAGCAGAACCAGATGAGAGCAACGCCCGCTATTTTCATGTGGTCATTGCTGGCCCCCAGGATTCCCCCTTTGAGGGAGGGACTTTTAAACTTGAACTATTCCTTCCAGAAGAATACCCAATGGCAGCCCCTAAAGTACGTTTCATGACCAAAATTTATCATCCTAATGTAGACAAGTTGGGAAGAATATGTTTAGATATTTTGAAAGGTAAGTGTTACCTTTATCATCATATGCTATTAAAATTTTTCCTTTTTATTATCTTAAGCATTTCATATCTAGAATGTAAACATATTCTTGGTGTGTACAAAGACCACAGAGGTCTGTGGGAGGGAGATGCAGCAGTTCTGGGCTTGTTTTTTCATGCTTTATCATATCCTACTGGGCCTGTTGCCTTCATAGATAAGTGGTCCCCAGCACTGCAGATCCGCACAGTTCTGCTATCGATCCAGGCTTTGTTAAGTGCTCCCAATCCAGATGATCCATTAGCAAATGACGTAGCGGAGCAGTGGAAGACCAATGAAGCCCAAGCCATAGAAACAGGTATTTAATATTCATTCTCTTTCACACCACTTCTACTTTTAGAAACTAGTTTGTACTACCGTTCTTTAAGGCCCTTGGCAAGAAAAAGGAAAAAAAATCTAAAATAAATAAGATCAATAAGATCCTGCTTGTTATAGTATACAAATAATATCTTAAAATATAATATGTAATAATGTCTTACAGTCTGCTATGGGATCCTCAGATTTAAGGACAATGTGTAATTGGAACATCTTGGACCCTTATAATTCTACTGGGTTTAACAAATACTGAGTATCTCTTATTCATTTAGCAATATGTAAAGATCTAGAAAACTTTGAACTCTTGAGCTGTTTTTGTAATCCATATGATTAAAATATGTAGCAGTTTACGGCTGCAGAGTTCGGATTTAAGAAGGTTCTTCTGATTTTAACAAAATTGATGGAGATCCAAAAATTCAGCCTGTTAAGTTTTGTAGAACTTTTGAATTTTATTGTGGTGTTTTTGGTAATTAGGCATACAGAAAATCTTCCAGCCTTGATCTAGTTTATAAAATGACATGAATTTAAATGATTATGGCATGGCATTTTCATAAGTAACAATACTATTTGTTTACTTACTGTGGAGTTGAGCAGATAACAGATTGAACTAAGTAAAATAATAATTGCATGTTTGTTTTTGTCTGCAGCTAGAGCATGGACTAGGCTATATGCCATGAATAATATTTAAATCGATCTGATCATCAAGTATGCATCACTTCTCCTGTTCTGCCAAGACTTCTTCCTTTTTGTTTGCATTTAATGGACACAGTCTTAGAAATATTACAGAATAAAAGCCCAGACATCTTCAGTCCTTTGGTGATTAAATGCACATTAGCAAATCTATGTCTTGTCCTGATTCGCTGTTGTAAAGCATGAACAGAGGCTAGAAGTATCATCTGGATTGTTGTGGAAACGTTTAAAAGCAGTGGCCCCTCTGCTTTTATTCATTTCCCCTATCATGGTTTAAGTATAAAGCACTGTGAATGAAGGTAGTTGTCAGGGTTAGCTGCAGGGGTGTGGGTGTTTTTCTTTATTTTATTTTATTTTTTTTTAGGGGGGAGGTATGTTTTATTTTAATTTTATGGGCTCCCCCCCCCTTTATGGTGATCTAATTGCATTGGTTAAAAGCAGCTAACCAATTCTTTAGAATATGCTCTCTAGCCAAGTCTAACAATTTAGACTCTGTAGATGGACAAGCTTGATTGTTTGAACCAAAATGGGAACATTAAACAAACATCACAGCCCTCACTAATAACATTGTGACTTTGCTGTCAAGTGTAGATTCCCCCCTTCAAAACAGCTTGTGACCATTTTGTATGGCTTGTCTGGAAACTTCTGTAAATCTTATGTTTTAGTAAAATATTTTTTGTTATTCTACTTTGCCTTTGTACAGTTTATTTTACTGTGTTTATTTCATTTTCCCAATGTGACAATCGTATTTAAAAATTAAAGCTCTGATGGAACATTCTGTTTTGGTTTTCACCATCTGATAAATTGAATGGCAAAAGGTAGATTTTGCCAGTTTTTTTTCACTGATGCAACTCTGTGTTACAGCATTATTGAATGGAGTATTTATAAACTAGCCCTAAGCATGCATAAAGCAACAGTATCTGACCTTTTTTTACCTCCTAGAAATTTGAAATAAATGTTGTGTTGTCTGATTAGTTAGGTCATTGGTGTCTTGCCACGATGTTTGAAAATTACCATATAGGACAGTCACAGCAAAGAAAGTTTTCATGTGTTACAGCACATTTTTGCCTTGGATTTGGGTTATGACCTTTTTCTTGATCCTTGTCTGAAAACTTCCTGCCCGTGTGTGTTATTGGGAAACACCAATCTGATCATCATCTGGGGTTTGCGGAGGCATTTGTGAGTCTCCCTGACAGGCCTGGTGCACAGATCTCAAGCACACCACCTGCCTGAGTGTCATCAGAAGGCTTCTTCCTGTGAGAGCATCAGATACTCAGTTAATGATTCTTTCATCTTTCTGGTTGTTGCTGTGGGAGCTTTTATTCTTTGATTTGGAATTCATTGATTCTTTTTCTTCATTGACCGACTGAGTTCTTCCCCTCACAAAAGTGTTCTTTCCCACCTCTCTTCCTGTCTAATTCCTCATTCTTGGTATTTTGAAGTCATAAACGTAGCCAGCCATAAATCTGTAAACTTGGAACCTTTTTCTCTTGCAGTTTAAGGTAATGGATATTGTAGCCCATTTGGATTTTCTTCATTCTTATTCTCATAACTTTTGGAATTTCTTCAGAATGTAGTGTATTTTATTGTGATCTTATGTAATATGAAGAATTATCTATTAAAATTACATTTTCAACATAAAAAAGCATTTGATGAGTGGTAACTGATATCGGTAGCAAATGTTAAAATTCAGAATAAAGTAGTTACCATTGTGAATTTTAAAACTGTTAATAGTGGTTGTTTATAGACAATTCTTGCGTTATTCAGAGGGCATCATTGACTACAACTTAGGAAACGGAATATCATTCTAAAATTGACTTCAAGCTGTTAGAGATCAGCATTATTTACTGTGGGTAGCATTGTTCATGGTTTTAGCTAGTATCACATAGTGATTTACAAGTTAGAAAATCTCAGATTTAAATCTATTGCACTATAGAAATCTATCTAAAGAGGACTATGATGTCTACTAAGTTTAGAGTTGTGGAAATACAGAAATGAATTAAGGCTTTGACCTCAAATATATGTACTCCTAATTTCAGGGCATTGCATTTTTTCCCCCTTTGGAATTTTGATGAGAGGTCCCTATTGTTTCGAAAAGACTTGCTTTCTCAACCAGTGGGATGAAGCAAGAGCCAATGTGTTGATTGCACTTTCTTAGGAGATCTGGGAGAGACCAAAGCAGTGGTTGAAAACTGGCAGTACTTCTGGCCTGCAGGCCTATTTAGCTTGGCCTCACACAGTGTGGTTGGTTAGAAACATTTTGAATTTGCTGCCAGCACTTTAAAATCTGGAGGTTCACAGGAAAATCCAGAATGCAAATATCTGAATGATCTGAAGAAAGAGCTGGCAGTTGTGGACCTGCCCCACCTCTGTGCATGGCACCTACTGGAAGGAGCTGACTAGCAACCACCTGAAGAGCATGTCATTGTCCTCTTACCCAGTTAGTCTCCAGTTGACTAGGGTCCCCTGCTAGCCTGCCTGCTCTTTTAAATAGTTCTTATCCCTTGTAAGCCTTTCACTTTGTAGCCCCTGAGCTAAAGGAAACTGTTTATTTCTTTGACAAATAAAAGTACTTAATATATGCCTACTACTTGTTGGGGATGATTACCTGAATGAGTGACCTGGGGCTTCCCCTTGGGGCTCTTACAGTACAAGTGGGGAGCAAACAAAACTTGCACCTGCACCTTGGAGAGGGGAAGTACGTGGAGGGGCTGCTCTTTTGGATTTGGGCTAGATGAACGTCTCCCTGTAGAGGGCACAGCACATGCAAAGCCTTGGGAGAGAAAAGAGAATCTGAATATATTGATAAAAGGCATTTTAAGATCAACTTCATCCAAACAGCAGCTTTTCTGAAATCCTTTAGGCTTTAGGGTTTTTGTTGAATTTTGTTGTTGTTCTGTCTACTTTGCTATGATTGGCTTCCCCACTACTCATCTTGATCCTCTTAGAATCTGCATAATAAGATCTTGGACCAGAACAATTTAGAACTTAGACCTTGCTCTAGACCAAGAATGTACTTGTAAAACAATTTCAGAAGCAGCATTTAAAAATAATATTACCTACCTATTAATATTACCTATTTCAATACATGAAAGCCACAGGTTGCTATGGTTTAGCACTGTTTTAAGAAGAGTAGGGAAGGAAATCTGTGTCCTACAGATGTTGAAAACATAAATAGCTTACAGGAAACTAAATGGTGTCTTGGGGACAATAGGAATTGTTTTTTTCCCCATGGTTCAGAAATGTTTTCTGGCTAATTTAGCCCCTTGAGTTTTTATTAGTTGCTGTAGTGAAGGTTTTAAAAACTCAACCATATCTAAAAAGCTGGCCAAAAAAGGAAATTCCATAATAAATAAGGCACCTAATTCATCAATCTATTTAAGAAAATTGTAATATTTTATTGGAATAATGTACTTTGGGGCTAGGGACATTTCATTTAACTATTTAGCATGCTGCCTATCTTAAGGAATTATATCAGGGTTTATATTTTAAATGACAACACAAAAAGCAAAACATGTTGAATGTAATAATTCTGAAAAATACAATTAATAAAAATATATAATCCACCAACTGGGCTGGTTATCCTTTGTGTATTTCCTTACCATAGTCATTCTTGCATTAGTTTCCCTTTTATCGTTGAGGCTGGGAATTGAATTTGTTCTAAGAGTTGGCTTTGCTTTATAGCTTTGTGGTTCCTTAAAAGACTAAAAGAGTTAAGTGTGGAACTCAGCATAGAGTTTGGGTCTTCCTAATTTCGTCTTGCATCCCTTTTGCTGATATCCTGCATCTGTTGGAATAGCATTTAGTGTGTGAATGTAGATATGATGGAAACCAAGCTTCTGTTGAATGAAGTTTTTCAGTTTCTGTTAGATTGTAGGAGGATATAGTTACTTAGACCTTGTATCACCACATAAATGGAAATATCACTGTTTTAGAGTATCTCCTGGGTTTTCATTAAGGAGCTCTAATATTTCTGTGCCATTTATATTTAGGACAAAAACTGTTAGAAATTAGGAAAGATTAGTAACCTTGTGTGCCTATCATATTTCTTCTCTAGTCTTTATCCATTCTTACAAAGGGACTGCTTTGAAAAAGTTCCATGATCTACATTAGTAACTCTGAATAGTTCTTAAGTTTCATGATAATCTTGTAAATTTACAAAGTCTTCTGACTTCAGTTCAAGAGTGAAAGCTTAGACATGGTAGGTTGCCCACATCAGATTTGAACTTGGTGTTTTCCTTACGTTTTGGCAGGAAGCATGAGGACTGAGTAACCGAGGGTGTGTGGGGCCAAATTCTTGGATTTCAACCCCTCCCCCCAATTAAACAGTAAGTATTTGGGGTTTCCAGGCCATAGGTCTGTTTCAGCAACTCAGTTATGCCATGTGTGAGGAAGCACCCTTGCACAGTTTGTAAACAAGTGGTCATGCTGTGTTCCAATAAAACTTGAATTTTCACTTGAGTATTTCTTTCTCCATCACCTAAAATGTAAAAAAGGATGCTAAATTTTTAGGCCTGTAAAATATCCTTACTCAACCCCACTCCTTGGCAGTGATTCTTCACTGCTCTTGGCTAGAAAGAAATGTGTTCTACCTACCCCTCCAAGGGCCTTTTCCAAGACGCACCTTACTGTCACCCATGTTAGGCTAAGAACAGGTTTATGATGTAATTCCCTTCTTCCATCATTGTTATGTAGACTGAACATTTATCAAAGCCCAGTATTTTTCATGTAAGAAATTAAGGAATGTTTTTACTTTGACAATTTCTCAAACCATTTTTATTTTCTAGAATTTATTTCAAGAAGCATAGAGAAGGGAGATTGATCTCTGATCCACTGGTTCACTATCCACATCTCCCGTGTGGGTAGCAGGGACCCATGTACTTGAACCATCACTGCTGCCTCTCAGGGTACACATTAACAGGAAACGAACTGAAATCAGAACTAAGACTCGAGCCACAGGCATTCCAAAATGGGATGCAGGTTCCCTAAACGGTGTCTTAATGACTGCATCAAATGACCAATATTTTAAAAACTATAAATGCTTTGATACTGGATCCATATGTTCCTTTTTGAAAAGCAACCTTTAAGCCTTTTCATTGTATGCAAATACGTATATAACACTGTGTAGTGCTTTTGCAAAATTAGTATTGCTGTGGCAACCCTCTTTGGTAATTGCATAGATCTATATGTCATAATTTTATCTGTATATTGACAATGGTTTCATGAATTGTGCAGCACATATTTCACATTTCGGTTGTGCTACTTGCCAGATACTTTTGTTGACTAGATTTCTAGAAGTGGAGTTGTTGGGTTGAAAGGGCTATACATACATTTTTTAAAAATGCAAAAGCTAGTGTTAAAGATCTTTGCTGGTGCTGGCCCAGGATGAAGCCAGGAGCCCCATCCTTGTCTCCCAAATGGGTGGCAGGGGCCTAAGGACTTGAGCCCTCTTCTGCTTTCCCAGATTTTACCAGAATGACCTTTTGATTGTGTATTTGAAAGGCAGAGATCTTCCATTCACTGGTTGGAAGGAGCTCCTGGCTGCTGGTTTTGGCTTAGCCATTTGGGGAGTGGACAAGCAGATGTAAGATCTCTCCTTCTCTCTCTGTAACTTTACCTTTCAAATATTTTTAAAAAATACAAAGCTAACTGCAAAACAAAAATTTATGACTCTCTAAAATTAAAAGTTACAGCATAAAGGGAGAGGCAGAGAGCAGTCTTCCCAGCTGGTTCAATCCCCAAATGGCTGCAACAGTAGGAACTGGGCTGATCCAAAGCATCTTCCGGGTCTTCCGCATGGGTGCAGGGGCTGAAGGATTTGGACCATCTTCCACTGCTTCCCAGGCGCATTAGCAGGCAGCTGAATCAGAAGTGGAGCGGCCAGGATTCAAACTAGCACCCCTATGGGATACTGGTGCAGCAGGCAGAGACTTAACCTCTGCCAAAATGATGGCCCCCTGAATAATTCTTAATGTCACTTCAGTGTTCCATTATATAGATAGAACCTAGCTACGGCCCCTCTGCTGCATTGGTACCTTATTTCCATGGCTTAACCATAAATTTTTGGCTGCATTCTTGTAGATATTGTGTTCTTAGTATAATTACTTCATCAGAAGGCATATTTAAGTGTGGCTAAAATAATTTCACTGAGTTTGACCAAAAACAAAGTAGTCAGTCTTGCCAGTGTTTCCAGGTTGCAGAATTCAATTTCTGGAATTGAGATTTGTTGGAAGTCACACAGGAGTAGATGAATTTAAGGCTATTTCCTGGCAAGAAGGTACAGAACCTTTGAGTAGTTGGGTCTTTGCTGTAGTTTTCAGATAAGCCTTAGGAGCTTGCTTATCTGAATGCTAGAATTCAGCCAGTGGCACCAGCCAGAGCTAGTATCAGTCAAGCTTCTGTGTACAACTCTCAACAGGGTTGCTCTTAAGTCTTTAGTGGGAGATGACATATTTAAATGATGTCGGTTTAGAAATAAAAGTTCATTTGAAAAGTAGATTCAGAGATAAAGGTCTTCCACATGGGAAGTGGCTGTCACCCCAGATGTTTTTGCTGGGCCAGGGTGAAGCCAGGAGCTTAGATTGGAGTTCCACCCAGGTCTCCCCTGTGGGTGGCAGGGACCCAAGTAACTGCTGGCTTTCAGTGTGCATTAGCAGGAAACTGGTTCAGAAGTTGGCGCTCAAACCCACGTGCTTGGATGTGGCACAGAAATCACAAGCAGTGTCTTAACCAGGTGTGCTAAATGCCTGTCCTTGAAGATGTTTATAAAGTTAGGGATTCTGGAGTAACTCAAAGAGCTCTTGATCATGAAAATAACCCAGGAATAGCAAATTAAGACAGCCATTAACAGTGTCACCATTAGACTGGTTCTAAGACAGGCATTAGCAGGAGTTGTGACAACACCCTAGTGGCAAACAGTTCAGTTAACCCAGTTTTTCACTAGTAAAGCTCATGTATGGAACATAAAAGTGAGGAATGTGTATGACTATCATGCCTGAACAGTACCTGCTGGAGAAAACCAGACAAGCTTTCACTTGCAGGGTGAATGCAGTATATACCTGTGGTTAAGGAAGCAATGAAAAAAAAAAAAGCCTACGTTTCTCCTGGATACTCAATTTACACACGGATCTTAACCTTGATTTCAGACAGCTGATTATTTACAGATCTGTTCGTGTGCTTTGTTAAAAAACAAAAACAAAGATCATTTCTGTTTTTATTTGATGTTTCCAAATATAAAAAAAAAAGTCAAGATTCTTACACCAATTATCTCAAGAGACCATGCAAAGCAATTCAGTGTGTACAAAGATTGTTTCTCCCCTTCAGTTCTGTTGCTTTATACAATGGTATGACCCACAGAAAATTGGATGGCATGTACCTCGTTGGAAAATGTCATGTTTACAAAAAATATGTGCAGGACAGTTTCTACTTTGTGTGCAACTCAATTCACAGTAACTACTTCTGTGTTTTATTTAGGAAGCACACAGAACTAAAAATTTTAGCTGCCCGATTTTATTCAACTACCCCACAAATAAGCACAGATGACAGTCTCAGCACTGCAAACTCTGCAGGTCTGAGATAGTAGACACTATTCGTTAATTTTAGTAGATTCAACTCTTTAGCCTGGAAACATTGGCTTTTCCTAACAGAAATAAATCTTAGGGCCTTTCCTCTAATTTTGCTGGACCGGGTTCCAGAGAAGTTGGGAAGGAACCCCTCCTGTGAAATTTCAAGTGTGGAAGCCATAAAGTATTCTGTTGTATTAATTCCTTGCTAATTGCATAGACTAAAGACAGTTGGTTTGCTAAATGGCACTGAAGAAAATCTTGAACCAAGTGGTACTACTTAGTCCAAATATTTCTGACCAAAGAAAATTATACAACAATATTTATAGGCTAACTTTAAGAGATGGTTGACATTAATACTGTACATATTTTACATGTCAAATACATAGTCCAAGAGTTTATAAAATAAGCTCATGCATTATTACTTCTAAGAATATCATATACAAGATAAACCCCCCCAATATTTGTGACAGCATTTCAGATGGAAGCAGTCTTATATACAAAAGCAATCCAGTTTCTCTGTTAAGTCTATAATTTAAAGAAATTTCAGAGATCACTGAGAAAAAAAAGCTTAGTCCATTGAAGATTGATATAGAAAGTGTCAATTTGTGGGATTTAAAATATTTCCTTTTTAAAAAACACCCAGAATACATAACCTTTGTACAAAGAAAAATATAAAAATTCTGGATGATCATGTTTGATCACACTACATAATTTAGAATGAAATGACACTGGTTACTACAAGTTTTCCTACTTAGCAATAATTTGGGAACTAATATTTACCTGCATTTATGGCACAAGATCTCATTTTGTAATGGCACCAGTTTTCTTTAAGTATAGGAGGATTCTATTTTCAGCAGCAATTACAATTTAAAGGTTAATTTGTAGAGCCAATGTTTTAACTATCCTTTTTATGCTTTATAGTCACCAGTTAGTATATTTACAAAAGGCTGAAGTCTTAACACAAATGATCTTTCACCCTCCCCCACCCCACATCTTACTGAGGCTTTTCCTCCCCTTTTATTTCTGATTTGGTGGGGAGGTGCAGAGTCTGTGACAAGGTACCCAGGTGGTCTATATATGCTTTAGGTGAGTGTAAAGACAAGTGAGGATGACTCAGCTCAGGTATGTTCCAGTGCCCCACAAGTTAGTTACATGACAAATAGTACCTTTTGACAACCTAGAAAAGATGAGATCTCTTGAGTTGCCTTTGCAGTCCTAGTCTGTAACAGCTGAACAGCAGGAAGGCCATTTTCTTCCACTGTGGTACAGTCATCACTGCCTGGGTACAAGCTGAGACTACGCCCCTGTGGTTACTAGTAACCATAGAAAATTAACTGAAAAGGTACTGCTAAACTTAAAAACTGAAAATGTTTTAAGAGCAATTTACATTGAGGGAAATAATGGTTTTAAGTTATTATATATAAAGAGATTATAAAGGGAAATGGCAATTGAGCATGCTAAATAAATCCCATGAATACAATTTTCATGATGATGTAATTACACATGCATTTTGCTAACAAGATTTCCCTAAAAATCACCAACTCTGAAGAGTGTTCTTCATGTGAAAATTGCTATTGAGTTACATGGGAGGCAGCAATTTCAGTTATCTAGTGACATAATGCCAGCTGAAAACATTAAGACAGATGAGTTGACAAATTCCCCCAAAGAAGCCAATTCTGTCAAAACAGTTATCGACCAAACAAAAATATCCCAAATTTATGAATCCTAAGTTTTGATTTATGAAGCACGTTTTGGGAAGGATGGATTTCTTCAATATCAAAAATGTTTTTTATTAATTCCTACCACAGAAGGATTTATTGAATATGTTTAATTCCATGAGTAAGAGAAAAGTTTAGGGGGGAAATATACCCACAGTAATTTTGATCTGATAAAATAAACCAGGCTCATGTCAAATGGACAAAAAAAAAAGCTTTAAAAATGCTGTGAAAAAATGAGAACCAAAATAACATGGGGGTTAGGGCACAGTTAAGGCATCTAAAAAAAATTTCCACATGGCTTTGGCTTATTAAAATATTTTACACTATTTTTTTTTAAAGAAGTTTTGAAAGCATCTGAAAAACATGCAAATTGTTTGAAAACCCTGTATGGCAAATTCAGACAGTTTGCAAGCGTCATTCAGATGTTTGCCAAGGAAAATGAAGCTTCTCCCTGTGAGACTGCCCATGATGGGAGAGGTCTGCCCAGTCCTCTTTATCTTATACCAGATGGCACCCCAGAGGTCTGTGCAGCATTTACAAACAAGGTGTTATTATCTGGAAGGGAAGGGACCGCAGAATTTCCATTGGATGGGGAACAACCCAGCTTGAGCTTTTCCAGATACTCTGCATGAACAGGTTTATGACACTGGAGAACTTTGATTGCATCTTCTACTTTGAACCACTCTCTCTTCCTTCCTAGAGAACAATATGACATTGGTTATTATACAATTTATTTACTTAGAAAGTAAAGCAGAGAGAGAGAGGCATCTTCTATCCACTCCCCAAATGGCCCCAACAGCCAGAGGTGGCCAGGCTAAATCCAGAAGCCCAGAAGTCCATTGGGGTCTCTGATGTGGTGACAAAGACCCAAACACTTGAGCAGCTTCCCAGGCAGTAGCAGTAGGAAGCTGGATAGCAAGTGGAGATGCTGAGACTCGGGCTGGCACTCCACTGTGGGATGCAGCTGTCCTAAGCTGTTGCTTAACCTACTGTGCCACAATTTCTGCCCCTAATTTTTAAAAGTAAGCCATATAATAATGTCCCCTCAATTCCCTGCAAATGATGACTTTAAAGAAATGGCTTAGACAGGTTTGTGGAGAAACATGCTTATCTTTCTTTCTCTAAACGAAAAGTAACCAAAATATTTTAAGGTGTAGTATGTGAATTAAGAGGATTCAGAGAGCAAAAGGAATGGGAACTTACCTATATTAACAGAATCTTCCCAGTCTTCTAGTATTTCAGTGACTGTAAGAACATAAACATATGTTCTGTGCTTTCGGTCTTGGTTCTGCTTGAATATAAAAAGAAAAGCATTTTAATCTACAGGAGCTAGCCATGGTATTATTATTTTACCAGGCAGAGTTAGACAGAAGAGAGACAGAGTTATAGATAGTGAGAGAGAGACAGAAAGGTCTTTCTTCCTTTGGTTCACTCCCCTAATGGCTGCCACGGCCGGCGCTACGCCGATCTGAAGCCAGGAGCCAGGTACTTCCTCCCTGTCTCCCATGCGGGTGCAGGGACCCAAGCACTTGGGCCATCCTCTTCTGCCCTCCCGGGCCACAGCAGAGAGCTGGACTGGAAGAGGAGCAGCCAGGACTAGTACCTGGCGCCCCAATCGGGACTAGAACCCGGGGTGCCCATGGTATTATTTTTAAGGGGAAAAAAAAGTTCTGGCACACTGCTGATTAGCATAGCCTATTTCCCAACATAGATAAGTACACCTAACACAGAACTTTTAAGTAAATTAAAAAGTCTGGAACTGGAGCTTTGACACTACCACTGGTGAAATTCATTCTAATTCTTATTTTTTCAAAATAATTTTTTAAGAAGATTTATTTATTTGAAAGAGCTACAGAGAGAAGGAGAGGCAGAGAGGTTGGTTCACTCCCCAATTGGCTGCAACAGCTAGAGCTGCGCTGATCTGAAGCCAGGAGCTTCCTCTGGGTCTCCCACGTGGGTGCAGGAGCCCGAGGACTTGGGCCGCCTTCTACTGCTTTCCCAGGCCATAGCAGAGAGCTGGATCAGAAGTGGAACAGCCAGGACTTGAACCAAAGTCTATATGGGATGCCAGCACTGCAGGCGGTGGCTTTATCCGCTATGCCACACCACCAACCCCCATGCTAATTCTTAAACTGTTAACACTTCAGCTCTAGTCTGAGTGTCCTAAGTGTCCAGGAGAGCAGCCCTGTTAAGGTTTATCAAGATGCATATAAAGCACGACCCTACTAACCTAGAAAGGAACTTATTATTTATTTGTTATTAATTATTTCTCTTAGGGTGAGTGACTTTTTAGGAGGTATCAATTTGCTTAGCTCTGGTTGAGGTCTAAAGTGCTGATGTTTTAACAGCTCCAAGGTGAGCTCTGCAGAGCCAAAGGTGAAGACTATCCAGGTTAGGGTTGTTCTAGAATATTCTAGTCCTTATATATATTATCCATATTGAAAGTGGTACCTAGCCTTGTCTAGGTTAAAAATAAAACACCATTTGTCCTTAAGATGAAGGGTTCCACTTCGATCCTCATTACATTTAGTCTTAGGTGCTGTCGTGTTTGGATAAGTCCTGTTTTTTCCTACCACAGTAATCCTAGTGACCAATTCAAATAGTGTTGTCTTTGGGAAGGAACAGGTATATCGTAAGTCAGAGCCATGTCACAGAAAACATTACCTTTCATTTTTTAAGAATTAGCTGTTTTATTTCTGTGTTTGCTTATTTTGCTTCAATCACAAATTCATTGAGATCACCATGGTGAAAGGGCAGGACAATCCTAATTTTCCCTTATATTTTTCATGCAAATGTTTAAAAAAAGACTTGACAGACCAGTGCCCACATAGGATGCGGGCACTGCTGGCAGAAGCTTTACCTGCTACACATCACAGCACTGACCCCTCCATGTAAATAGTCCTTGTAAAGCTTAACACTGTTAACTTCAGATATAATCTATTAAGTTCTCTTTGAGAGGTATACTTCAAAACCTTTGTCAGCATCTGAGGCTACTTCAAATATTCATAAAAACTGGAATTAAAAAAATTTTTGATGCAGTAATTGTTAAATCCTTATACAGGTTTTCCTTAATACTTATTTCTGGTGGATTTCCTGAAGTACCCATGTTGATAGATGTGTTACTTGTATTGCAAAATTTGAACCACAGAAAAACCAATACATTTTCCAGTATAACCAGGAGATGGTGCTGTGTTACTAGGCAAAGCAAGCAAGGAGTTCTAGACCAGTTTGCATACCATCTTAAGGACTTTACTCTTAATCATTATTCTGGTGAGAATTCTGAGTAGTCCTGGAGAATTGATATTTTAAGATTCAAAGATAAGATAAAAATATGGTTCTACCAGAGAGGCGGAGCTAACCCTTAACCAGTTCTCCTGACAAAAGTCACCGTTTTTCTTGTATGCTATGTATCTGGTACTGAATCTTGGATATGAGAATAGATTCTCCCTAAAACTGAGTACCTATCATTTTGGGATTTCCTCCCTAAAAATGCCATTCTGGGGGCTGGTATTGTGGAAAATGGTCCAGGTACTTGGGCCCCTGCACCCATGTGGGAGACCTGGAAGAAGATCCAGGCTCCTGGCTTTGTCCTGGCCCAGACCAAGTCATTGTGATTTGGGGAGTGAACCAGTGGATGGAAGATCTGTCTCTCCTCCTAACTTTGCATTCTAAATAAATAATATTTTTTAAAAATGCCATTCTGCCCTCAATAGTAATGGATTACATGGGAGAGAATTTCTTTACCATGTACCTGAACCTTTCAAGAAAAGTCATCAAGTACAGATACTATCTAAAGTCATGAGCAGAAGGCAATGGGCAGAATCCACAACAGACCTAAGCCAACAGTGAAGATACTTTACCTCCTAAAA